GTCTTCATACGAGGACGCTCGCGCGATGCGCGTGGGCGCATCGCAGGGATGCGTCTTCTCGTGCCGCGATGCGCCAGGAGTCTATTCTCATTTCCATGCTGTGATACATATCACAAAGAAGCCGCGAGGAGAGTGTCCTTCTCTCGCGCGTGATGCTGCCGAGCGAGCGCGAACGCTACTTGCACGCCAAGTTACGCATCAAGTTGAAAAAGTAAGGTAAAAATATAATGCAGACACGTACATTATCCTGGACATTAATCGACAATACTTATCAAGACTTGCGCAAATAAAAGAAAACAAAGTTTGTGCAAGTGTTCTTTTAGTATATGTGATATTATATTACATAGAGTGTCCTACTTTAAATATATCAACCGAATATCTCGAACATATACATACACGATTACATTCGCGCGCGCATCAGTATCGATGGAAACGAGCGAAGTTGCATTTTTTATTGTTAAATAAGCCTGAACTATTAGAGTTGAATAATGCTAGAATTTTTCGGATTTTTCATGTAGAATTATACAATTTTTTAGAATCTGTTACAAAAAATACTACTTTCTATTTAAAAAGAAACAAGGCTAACCTCCATATAACTTTGGCAAATGACCATAGTAAAAATTCAAAGTCTTTTTTCGCCAAATCTCAAAACTCTACAAAATTTTATCTGAAATATTTTTGTCTGCTGGGCACAGTTTTCAATCTATTTAAAATAGGAATAGCCCTGTATATGCATATATTAAATATATTGTATACATATACATATATCGTATACATATATTGAATATAATATTGAAATACATATATTGAATTATAATAATAAATATGTATACATATATATTCTACATATTTTAGGAAAGTTTAAATATTCGTATTTAAAGCGCCAAGTAATAAGAATGGTCAGAATTAGTTACGTGTCCGGACGTTGGTACCGTTTACTTTACCTGCAATGACAGCTTCGTTTATCGCTTTCCGCGCTGGGCACCGTGCAATCGGTATCTTCATCGGATATTCTAACGCGGCGTCAGATAGGTGGCGAGAGATTGCGATGAAATAGTGATTCCGAATAAGCAATAATACATCCATGCTCGACAACGCGGATTTTCTCAATAGATGGAGCGTTGTTAGCGGTAAAACTCGCGGCAAACAAAATGATCGTCCACGCTCGGAGACGAGATCTACGTGCGTAATGCCAATGAAAGAAAGCACAGACACGGCGTGTGTATCCGCGTCTTGTTAATGCGCACGGCAAGGAAGCTAGAGCCGGGAATGGTAATGAAGCACCGGCGAAGGTGAGAAAACTATCAGGGGTCTGTAGAAATATTTGGTCGCTCGCCTAATTAGGGAGTCGCCGTCAATTTCGCCGGCAACATTTTAAGCTCACGTAGCGCACGCCCACGCGATCCTGCCCGAGGCGAAACGGACCCCCCGCAGCCTCTTTCCGACCGCCTAATTACCGAACAAGCCTATCTTCGAGCGTGGACGCTGCCAGCATCATCGCTGAGGTCTACGGGGTGTCTCGATCCGATCGAGATCCGGCCAGCGTTTCATACACGGGCGATCCATCAGCCACGAGTTCCTCATTAAACGCGTGGCCGCGAGAAATTTAAAGACTGATGAAAAAGAAAATTCGAAAAAATAAAAATTGTAAAGCGAGTCATGGCCACAATCGGTTTACGTCACGGACGCACGGTAAAAGGAAATATTGCGTGCATATTTCTAAGCTATATATAAAAATGATTCAATTATTCGCTTTCCCGCGAATGCGATTGAGCACACGAGGAAGCGCGAGAAGCAAAGACGGTGATGGTGGAAGAACACTCGTCTTCACGTCGGGAGGAAAGCATCCCGCTCGGTGTGGGCGCATTCTCCCACGTTTCCGAGACACCCTGTGAACCCCGCGGAACGTAGGATACGCGTCGCAGCACGTAGGGCCCGTACACGCGTAGCGAAGGCCCCGCGCTCACGTAATAACATTGCCGTGAAATAAGACCGGCCGTGCATCCAGCTGCGAAGCTCGCATAAACTCGGCCGATTGGATCCTAAATCGGCACGGTCGCTTGTCTTAAGGCGGGAATGCCAACACACACACCCCCTGAATCAGCTCCGCGATGATCACATCGCGTATTTATGCGGTGCGCGTAAATTTGGTCGCGACGAGAGAGCGCGGACGGGAGGAGGACGCGGCTTCCCGGAATTTCTGGCCGGGGACTGCCAGGACTGCTTGTATCCGCGACTAAAAGCGAGAAAGGCGGAGGGATGGCGAGGGAGCGAGATAGCAGGCGGGATTAATTTGTTAATGCATTCCCGAAGGCCGTGTACGGGAGGTAACGTCTCCGCCGTTAGTAAGTCACCTGGCGTAGCGGGACGCTGGAAGGTAGATGGGATACTTCGCGCCGCCCGTAGAAGAAGACCCCGATAGAGTCGTCTCAATTACGATACTGCGACGATTTACGGTAAAAGACTTGGTCCCACGAGCGGCGCGACGAATGTGGCGTCTCCGGTACGCACGCAGCGGTTATTCTACGTTCAGATGGCATGTCGATGTGTTTCTTTTATAAAAGTGTCGCGGGAGGAACGAGGGAGGAGAAGAACTACGCACAGAAAAGAAAGTTTGGTTGAATTAATCAAATGTCAGGGGGAATACGAACAAACCAAAATTTTGTTAACCAGATCAAAATTCTGATTAACCAGAAATATTGTTAACTTCGACAAAATTCTAATAATTTGAATCAGAATTTTGGTTCGCTTATATTTCATCAGACGTTTAGTTGATCCAATCAAATTCTCTCTCCGTGCGCGAACGTCTTGAAAAATCGATTGGCAGTGAACGTTTACTTTCATATAGGATTGCTAGAAGAATCATGTATGTTTCGTTAAATCGCGTTTTCAAGCCACAAAGCAGAGAAAAAAGAAATTATTCGAATGTGGTGTCACAACTCACTCTTCTGTGTTTTATCAATTTCAATTGGAGCGAAAGAGCATCGCGATGGAAATAAATTCGCTGAACGAGAAATTACTAGAATTATCCACGTTATGTATGTGTATGTATGTATGTATGTGTGTGCCACGAGGCACCGTGTGCTCGTTCACGCAAAATGATCTCGCGTTAGGTAAGAATATTGATGGACGAAGCGGCGGATGTGCTTCGTCCGCGCGAGGAGGCGTGCTGGCAGGTAGATATACCTGTCGAAAGAAGACGCGCGCCCTTTATCGTGCGAGAAGAACGACGTGCTCTCTCACGAGCCACAAATTCCTCTTCGAGCGGTCCAGATCTCCCGATCCTCGCGCGCGCGCCTCTTAAAACACGCGAGACCGACTCTATTAAAACGGATGAGATATCGTTTTTACTCTTTGACCTTACATAACTTCGTAGGGGCCTCATCTTTCCTCTCCGTATCTTTCCCGGAGTGCATACATTTACTAGAAATTATGCTCGACGCAACGCGCGCGGCGATGTTGTATGAACAAATTATTTACTCCCGATAATGTAAGTGCGCTAGGATCGCGAGGAGAGGTGCAAACGCGATAAATTCACAAGATGAACCCGGACACGTTAAGATTGTTAAGATTGTACGCATAACTGTTATCTTATGTCTTATGTATCTTGGCAAATGTGTTCGCCAAACTTTAAAAAATTCATTCAGATATTCAGGTCAGTTAAATATATACATAAATCATATCACATATATAAATAAATCAGAGCAAATATATGAATATATATGAAATATCAAATTATACAACTGCTATTACTCATCGAGAATCAACGCCATTTACAAGCATGCACTACATAATGTGACGCTTTGTGAGCATCTAATTGGGCGCTCACCATTGTTGATATTCAGCCGGCGACTGCGTCGTCTGCGTTGCTCAGCATCCATCCGATATTCATCCGGATTCCTCAGGACTCCAGTCGATGTCTCCACGTTGCTTACACTTCACTCGCGATCGCAATAGTTTGAATTGCGTTCGACGATTTCACGAAAAACGCGCGATAGTAGTCTAGTGCTTTGAAAATATTTTTGCGAGATGTGAATCATATATAAACAATCGTGCATCAGAGATTGCGATATTTTCTCCAGAGTCGCGGGAAAAAAATAAATAACTTGTTTCGATTCGGTATAATGGCAAAGCTAAATAAGAATGAAATGGAGACGTTGGTAGACGGGACTTTTAATGAATATCATTGAAGTCACTTTAAATAGGTTTTTAATTTCAAATCAAGTTGTTTCGCAAGCATACTAATTTTAAGAAAAAAACGTGTTAACTATACATATCTAATTTAGATACTTAATTTTCGACTAAAATGACACGTCGCGTATGAAAAATGTAGGAAATTGACGACCTAGACGTTCGTAAAATTGATCGCGAGGTAATCGGAAAATTGCATATAAAGTAACAAAAAAATTAATCGCGAAGCAAATTGATCGCAAATGCAATGTAATCGCGAAATTGAACGCGATATAATAGTAAGATTGATCGCGAATTATCGCGAAATAATCGCGAAGTATTGCAAAGTTTCGCAAAGCTGTTGCAAAATAATCGCAATTTTCTTGTGCGATGGCGCAAATTTGATGCGCATTTTGCACTGCTTGAAACAATCAGGGTATCATATTGGAATGAATAACTCTGTCATACAATTCTATATATTGAATTAAATATACAAAGCAAAATGTATGAAAATGAATTTATATTAAATATTAAAATATACAAAGCAAAATGTATGAAAATGAGTTAATATTAAAGATTAAAATTGTAAGAAACATTGAAATATATCAAGGAAATAAGTATTCTTTTTTTCTTTTAATAATATAAATATCTATTTAAAAATATGGCTATTTAAACAAGTGATGCTCTGATTGTCTCAAGCGGTGAATTTTAGTGAACAGAACAGAAACAAACATGCAAAAATCCACAAGTAAATCGCGTTGATTCCGATGAGTTTTTACTCTACGACCCATCACCTTAAATATTTAAAACATTTTTCATTTCTGACTCACCGAACTGAGAGTCGGCCACATTCTGCTGCAGATCTATAACAAAAAGATACAGTTTTGCCAATTAGACACGAATGTTAATAATTCAACGCGAAAGAAATACACATTGATATGTGCTCGTTGACTCTATACATGCGATCGTTATATCTCAACAATATTTATTCCGATACAATTGTGTCTCAAAGAGTTACGCGCGCAAAGAGATCGCAAAGAGTTAAATACAAGTGTACAGGAAAAATTAAAACAAACTAACCTTCGAGCCGACCCTGCTCGACCCGAACCGGATCCTCCGGTACGGCATCCCCAGGCACCGTATCCACCATTTGGCTGCAAACTCTGGGAGATCTGAAACAAAAAGCAAGTTTCTTGGTCAGATATATGGTGGATGTCAATTTATTGAAAGTAGACTGACACACGTGATAGTATGTTTCTTTTTTAAGTTCGTAAAAATAAAAAACAGTAGTCACCCTTGAAATTTCAGAATGCTGCTATTATTCAAAACGATCCTAGCACAATGATCGCACACACGAAATCACTAACGCATCTCGCGCACGCTTTGATCGGCTTGGAAAAATCTAGACGAATGCGCGACACTTCCCGATACGACTCGATCGTCGCCGCGTCAATGACTATTATGATCGTTTGGCAGTTGCGCGCCTACATGTGTTATTGTTATTACGGATATTATTGTTTCCGCGAGCGCGTGTGACTTATAACAGGTGAGACGTGCTTGAAAGCGCCGTTACGTTGTTTATTCATTTATTCGCGACTATATTTTCCAATGTTATTTTTTTATTTTGTAATATGAATTATTATACGTTATTTTCTGCGTTTGCGATATTTAAGTCATCTTTCGTGTACAAAATGTCAAAACGCAAAATGATATGATGACAATTTATCAAAAAATATTTATCGAAAAATAAAAAAGCAGTGGCTCTCGTTACTGTATACTCCCTCTCCTCCCTCCCCTTTACTAACAGCCTAACATTACCGTCCAAGATTCGGTGCGCGTATATTTCTAGCGTGATATTGTTCTTCTTCTAATTACTGTCAAATTTTTAATTCCCGCTTAAACTTGACGATTGTTTGACTTTATTACCACTTGAGTGAGTCATGTTAATAACAAGAGTAAGAGACTGTTTACTTATACTGACAAACAACGATAATAATATACTCCATAACAATATAACTCCATAATAATATATTCACAATACATTCCGATGATTATACATCACTATTCTCGACTTATTTCCGTACGAGACTCACTTTCGACAGTTATAAGACACGTAAGGTGCGGAGCAACGTTGACCGGTATTAATGGAGTTTTACTCGACGCAAAAACATCGACCATGCCCGTGCAATGCATGACGAACGCCGAAAATGCGCGCCGAAACATCAACAGTGTCGTTGTCTGACAAGGACGCGCTCTCGTGGGATGATCCTTTTCTCTCACGTTAACAAACCGAGACGTTTACCGGCCGAGATTCGGCGTCGCGTACATCTCTGGCGTCTTTTTATCTTTTTCTCTTTCTCTCTAATTATCGCTGTATTTCTAATTCCTGACGATTGCCCGATTCTATTACTACTTGAATAAATAGACAGTAAAAGCCAGTGCGAGAGACGCCGATTCGTCGCGACAAGCATCGCTCGCGTGTTTCGCAAAATGAGAAGATTATTCGCTACTGAGGTACTCACGATACATCCTGACGATCGCACATCGCTGTTTCGGCACTCCCGACATTCATTTGCGCACGAGACTCACGGGCATAAGACGCGTGAAACGCGGAGCAATGTCGGTCGATGTGTCGCCTGGAGGTTGCTCGGAGCAAAGAGATCCAAGATGGTCGCGCAATTGATCACGTACGCACCGCGACGTGAACGGTGGCGCGCTCCTCTGACGCCATCTGTACGCTCGCGGATGACTTACCGTTCAATAGATCGATCTATTCGATATCTTGATACATTCGATAGATCGATAGGTAGACTAGATATTTTTGTCCAGCTATATTCGTTTCTACCTACACGTCTCTTATGTTGACATTTAATCAACAGTTCTTGACGTTTTCGCGGCGATACAAGTTTTTTGTGTAATATATCACATTATATTCGCGCACGTTTACGATATTCCGAATCAAAATTGAGATCATCCCATCGTCGGTCTAATGTCGAGAATAGTGTTGCCTTCGATTTATCAATTAGCGAAATTAAGATCGCTTTATGACATCGGATTGAAAGCCAGGATAAATTAACATCAATATCAGAGTGCTCTATCATTACAATCCGAATATAGAAATGCCCGGAATTGATACCATTAATCGATGTCCGGCTTTTATTAATCAAGTAAATGTTGCGTTTAATATATATATATATACACACACACATATACATGTGTGTATCGAGATAACGTTCGAATTTAAAGAACAGCTGCGCCACGCGCTCGCCAGCTCGGAACCGCGTTAAGTAAATCATCTCCGCGAAAGGGACGGAGGATCACGGCGAGGAGCCAGCAAGCAGCCGAAATTGAATCTATCAAGACCGAAAGGGATACGGCGCCGAGAGCGTCGCTCTCTCGAGGGCTCCACTTTTCGTCCGCCTCTCGGTCCAACGGCAGCGCGTTGCAGGGTAGACCCAGAATGGGCCGCGGAAGGACCGGAGAGCGCCGCTGACGGGCCATCAGATAAGGCCCCGTGTTTGCCTAACCTCTCACCTCCCACCGGGGTCCGCGGCATGCCCCGAAGAGCGGCCCCGAAGAAGTGGGTGCTGCTCATCTCCGACCGCGACGTGACGGACAGGTTCACCGCGCGTCTTTCTCTTTCCCCGTGATCGTTTAAAAGCTTTCGAGTACGTTCCGGCCGCGATGACCTCTTCTCGCGATGGAACAACTCCACCATCATGAATCACGGTTCGCGTTAATAGCTTCGGGGAACTCTACCCCGCTTCCGATCTCCTTGGATCATCATCTCGCGCGCCCGCTTACCCGTCGACCCCGTTGACGTCTTTCTCTCTGTCGATCGCCTCGGCGAGCGAAGAAGCGGCGAATGTACGAGCGAGCGAGTGACTGATGTTGCGAATCGCGGAACAGGAAGCGAGAAGTAATCGCGATCCCGGCCATGATTATTTACATTAACGCTGATAACGAGCGGATTTAGATAAATTTGCAGCGGCACACACGTCGCAAAAGTGCCGCGGCACAATTGGAGGTTTATCGTGGGAATGATTAGCCGGTTTCCCATACGGACTTGTATAAATTATCCGGCTATTCGCCGTTCGCGGCTAATGCATCCCGCACGATGGATCAAAGGCGTCATAAGAGCTCCCCCTCGTTGCCGTATATTCGCCAATGCTCATCAAAGACAGTGTAGTGGTCATATCGCGCGCTTCGGACTCCTCTCTTCCACCCTCGCCGCGATAGTAATTCACTCGCGGAGGATTCCTCACTCGAGCATAACGTACGATCGCGGCACCGTGTGTTGCCGGCCTGTAGGTACACTGCGTATCGAGGACCTTCCGTCACGACGGAGAGTACCGCGCTAATGAAAATTCCGGTAAAGCGTACACATAGAGAGAGAAAGACAGAGTGAGAGTGAGGGGCCTCCACGGCGGAATGCGGTCCAATTAGGGAAGGGTTGCTCCGGCCGGACGGTGTCTTCCCGGAACGAGTGGAGGAGAGAGAGAGGAGGAGAGAGGAAAGAGAAGAGAGAGAGAGAAAGAAAGAGAGAGAGGGCGGGGGAGGGAGGGAGAGACCGAGAATTGGTTTATTACATCGAAGGTGGAGATACGATTCTCTTACTAATTTCGTGATTTCGTTTCTCCGCGCCGCCTCGTTTGTACATACGCGAGTTCCCTCTTGCGCGTACCAGCCAACGCGCGTTACCTCTTCATCTATCTCTCCGCGCGCGTTAGTGGTCCCTCTCCTCCTTGCTGACCCGGACGCTTCCCGCGTCCACCACACCGTCGCGTCCACCTTTCTCCCACGAAAGTCACCTTTTAACGCGGTAACAAATCAATTCGATGGTGATTAATGCGCGCTTCGTGCCGTTCCCTAATTACGCGAGAGTTATTACTCGATTGGCTATCGGTCGCCATGGCGCGGCGCGTAGATGCATCCGTCGCGCTAACGGGACGATTCCGCGAGGATTCCACGCGTTGTCAAAAATTTCCGCGCGTCTCTCGCGATCGACGCCGCGACGGACGCGACGGACGCCAGAGAGGGG